TGTCCCATCAAACTATATCCTCTGTAAATATCCATATCTCGTACTAGTGGTTGATCAAGGTATATACTTGGCGGTGCCGCTACACATATACTTAAATCAATATAAATTGATTGTAATGACTATAATATATATATATATACATATTATATATATATATGTATATATATATTATACATGATATGTATATATATATACATATATATTGTATGTATATTATATGTATATAGTTATAACCCACTGAAACTGATTGTTAGCGCATCCATAGTGTATCCCTTCCTCTCTAAAAATGCTCTCCCCACAAGGCCCCCGTGGTCGTCCTCGGCCCAGGCTACGGCACGATCCACATACTCCAGGGCTGGACCGATGTAGGGCTCTTTGGGCCTCGATATTTCGACCTATGGAAGGCCTCAATGGGTTGTTTCCTATGGATTGCCGAACTGGATTTCCTATGGAGTTTCAACACTGTTATCATCACTGCCAAAAATCTTTCCGGTCTCGATCTTCATCCTACCATGCAAAAATCGAAAATTCCCCCCATTTACCCGGCCTGGTAAATTTTAAACGTTTACACAACTATGGAAAATCACAATTTTCAATGGGAAAATCCACTATTTCTATGGTCCATGATTGGGACCAATGGGACCCATAACTTCCAACCCTGTGCCGCACCTGGGCTCTGTGATCACCCAATAGCCGAAGGGAAGACGAACCGCATTGAGGCCAAAGGCCTTGACCCGCTGGAAGTCGGCCTACAGTAACCGTAGCATAGCGGAGATGGAGATGTCCTGGTTTTCAAAAAAAGGGAGAGATGGGGATGAAATTAGAACTTAAAATCATATAAATGATGGATGTAGATGATGATTATTTGAATCTTTAGGGACCATCTAAGTTTCTATGATTTTCCATAGATTTTCTGGATGAAATTATGATCCCATTCTTCAAGATGACCCCGTTCTCAGTGCTCAGGGCACATCCCAGTATCCCGGGCGCATCCCATCCGGGGTCCCATCCAACTCAACAAGTTTAAGTTCAGTCGTGTCTACGATGAACTCCACGGATTTTCTCATCCTTTTCAGATTGCTCAACTCTATTCATGTTACATTTAAAAAAAAACAAGTCTAGTATCGGCTTGTACACTTTTTCGTTGACTCTTCCCATTTCTGTCTCGAAATATCCCCATTTAAGTGGATCCCATGCACTTTCGCATTCCCATGGCACTTTCCAAATGGGCCATCAGTATGAGCCGGTTAAGACACACTGAAATCATATGACATAACAACATATTATATAACATAACATAGCACGATAAAATGCAATACAATACAATATAATATGACCGAATTCAATGTAATATAATATAATATAATACAAAATAATATAATATAATATAGTATAATATAATATAATAATATAATATAATATAACTTAACACAATAAAACAAAGATAACATAACACAATATAATACAATATGATATGGTATGTTATAGTATAACAAAATAGAACAAAACAAAACAAAACATTATATAATACAATAATATAATGTATTAATTATACATATAATATATACACAGTGTTCGATCTATCTATATCTATCTATCTATCCATCCATCCATCCATCCACCTATCTATCTATCTATCCATCCATCCATCCACCTATCTATCTATCTATCCATCCATCCATCCACCTATCTATCTATCTATCCATCCATCCACCTATCTATCTATCTATCTATCTATCCATCCATCCATCCACCTATCTATCTATCTATCTATCCATCCATCCATCCACCTATCTATCTATCTATCTATCTATCTATCTATCTATCCACCTATCTATCTATCTATCCATCCATCCACCTATCTATCTATCTATCTATCTATCCATCCATCCACCTATCCATGCATCCACCTATCTATCTATCTATCTATCTATCTATCTATCCACCTATCTATCTATCTATCTATCTATCTATCCACCTATCTATCTATCTATCCATCCATTCATCCACCTATCTATCTATCTATCCATCCACCTATCCATCCATCCACCTATCTATCTATCTATCTATCCATCCATCCATCCATCCATCCATCCACCTATCTATCTATCTATAATCAATATGAAATCTTTGGTTGGTCAGTTGGTCATGTCTCCCCGTTTCTCCCCGTGCCATCGACCTTGGTGATGTGCGTCTCGCGGTGGGATCGAATCACCTCCATAGCGCCCGCTTTGCCCAGCTTTTCGTGGAGCACCTGGAGAAAATGGTGCCAAAATGATACCAAAATTATATATCTATTTTATATAATCGGCATATCATGGTATATCTATTGATATCACGGTATATATATATATATATATCGGTATATCTATTGATATATCTATTGAAATAACTAAGGTACCCGGCCTGGTAATGACTAACCATAGGAAAACCATAGGAAAACCATAGGACAATGGAGGTTTACCCGGCCTGGTAATGACTAACAGTTTGCGAACTTGAAAATGGTCATAGAAATAGTGGAATTACCCATTGAAAATGGTGATTTTCCATAGTTATGTTAATTCAATTTAATTTACCAGAGGGTACTATGATTGCTGGATATTAAGGATGGTAGCTTACTACCTGATTTTCATGGAAAATGATAGTATCATTAAATGGTGATTGCTGGCAGATATATCATGATGTATCTACAAGAATCTAAAAGATATATCTACAACAAAGGAATCTGGAATATGTTGAGATAGTTGTTGTAGATATCTTATGATATGCTGTAGATCATCATCACTTTTACAAACATATAATACAAAAGGATAAGGTACCCATCCGGCATGTCTTATCAACTTGGATTCAGGTTCATCTTTCTCGATTTCCGTTTGAGAAAGGGTCAACACCCTAGTGGCCTTGCTAGAATAATGATGGTCATGGTCATGTTGGAACCTGAATAACAGTCCAATATTCAGCGTAATTGTTTGGTATTGACATGTATTGACCCATGACCGCATACCCAAACATAGATCATCATGCACATGGATAAGTCTCGAATGGAACCTCTCTTGCTACATCCAAATTCCAATTGGAATCCCCTATGGTAGGTACCTCCAATGACTCGGTTCCGCCGATCTAACGAAAGGGACCTGCAGGAGATCCCCGCCTTCATCAAGTCCCATTCGCAACGGGCCTGCAGCAACCGCAATGAATGGGATATGTGATATATATATATCTTGGTTTTGGGCAATGACGATACAAAAATAAGATTACTCATTCAAGAACGCACACACACACACAAACATATATACACATACACCAAGAACCTGCATTAACCTCTTCATTTGTGAAGGGTTCAACATGTTTCCAACTTTCAAACATCCAAATCTTGGAGGTTAACATAGGTTAAACAAACATTCAGTATGTTTCAAAATGTCCAGCTGTCCAATGCTGTCCAGCTTAGTCTGTCCCATGGCGTACCTGGCTCTTGTCCTTCAGCAAGTGATGCGTAAAGAGCGGATAGGATGGACCAGGCTCCAGCAGGAGCCATCCGCCCAAGTTGACACCTGGTTTACCAACGATCTTTGCCATCATCAGATGGGATGGAGAGGTGATTTTCTGATGATTTCCATGGGAAATTGGATCATGGGTATACCCCCAATGAAATAGCCATAAAAAGTAGGGATAATGATCAGCAAAACCATTGGGTAAAAAGGGGTACACGACATTTTCAGACAAACCCATATGTCCATAGAAATTGCTGGAGACCTTCCCGCCCCAACCTTTCCAGGGCTGCGCCAAGACATCTCGCACTTGCGTCATGGCTGATGGGGATCGATGGGTCGTGTGGAGATATGACAAGCTGTGCAGAGTTTCAGCCACCCGATATCTTCAACACGCTGAAACTCTGGAAGTTGTGACACCATCTAATCATCTTCGGTGTTCACATGTGTTCACTCTGGATATGCGTCATGGATCTTATGACTACATATATAGGACGGCCTGTTCGAGCATCGAGCCCCGGCATCATACAGAATGCAGCCGAAGAGAGGTGCAACCAAATCCTGAAACAGCGATTAAACTGATTAAAAATCAAACTGTTGTATCAACTATAGTGTACCAGATCTGGGGATAGAATATGATAGAATGGTATAAATCCCCACAATTCCCAGAATCTGTCCAAGTATTTCAATGATTTTCAGGTTTTTTTTTGTGCCTTGCATTGAAGGAATCTGCTCATGCAGGGTGCAGCCGTGTCCCTCAGTTCTATCGAGTTCCCCCTCGGGAAAAGCTCGTAAAGTTAACACAGCTCCAGCGGTGAGGGAGCTGGAGCAGGATATCATGTCTTGAAGAATCTGTTTTACCATTGATTTAAGAAATCCAGTAGGATTTCGGTAAAATGTCCTATGATTTATACTAAATTTATACAGTAATGAAAATTCTGGAAGAGCTTTCCAAAGATTTTCACGTATTCACGTATAGTATGAAAAATGCTACTGCCAACGTTGGCAGTACAAACCAGCACTTTGGCGACCAGAACTGCTGGGGATTTTGGAGGCTGTTCTAAACAAAATTGAAAATTGGTGCCACGTGACACACGGCCATCTGACACGATACGAGTCACAGCTCGAGCCAAATCTTGGCTCAACCGTCTTAGACAGTCCAGCTGCAGATTTACCCAGGTTGATGATATGATAGTTCGAATCAGTTCTCAAATAGTATGGACTGATTTGAAATTATTTGGTGAGTAAAATATTGCTAATGATTTGATGGTGTATTGATGTGTATTGCCACAAAAACAACGACACCACAAACTTTGGTTGCAATCACAACCTAGGTCTATCCAAGTATCCTACCACTAGCATTTTCTGCGAATTGGTGCCATGGTCAAGAGACCAGTTGCATTCTCCGGAAGTTGTTTCCCCGCCTATTTGCACAAAGAACGAACAACTTTGAACATGACGAAAACGAAGCAAAGCAAAGTTCGAAAAAAAAAAAACGGTGATAACGTTATTGAGTCATTGACCATGCCACCACCCTACGTGCCGTTGACGCGTTGGACGCGTTGACGTTGCGTTCTCCGTTTCGGTGTCACTCCATCCGCGCGCGTGGCTTGAAGAGTTTCAGTCCAAGGGTGGCTCCCGGCTGTCCTCCGGCGAGGATGTAAACATCGAGATCACTGACTGTAGCCTGGTGATTTGGTACCGTTTTTTGTGTTTATGTTATCTTAATATATATATATTTGTATTATATGTATATTATATTATAATATCATTATTATATGCGGTTACATTACAAATTTGTGACCCTGTCGCACTCAGGTTTTGCAAAGCTTTGCCTGGCCAATGCGTTGGCTCAAGGCGACTCAAACTGAGATTGCCAAGGAAAACAACGAGGTGTCATTGGGACGCGACTTTAGTTGTTGGAGCCCATAACATTGGGACGCAACTTTAGTTGTTGGAACCCATATCCACCTGGTTTGTAGCCTCCCGTAGGTTATGAGCCCAAGCCTATGCTGATGGAGCGTCGCCGCCGTGAAGCAGCTGATGCTTTCTTGCAACCTGCTGGTGATGGAGCAGGAAATGGCCAAGCCGTGGCTGAGGAGTCAGCTGACCAAAGGATGGACAGGCTGATCCATGAACAACAACAAAGTGGTGAACCAGCTGTGAGGTCAGTGAGGATCTCGATGGCAGCTGGCACTGATGCTAGCGATGGTGGAGGACGAGCGTTGGAGGACGGGACCCGAGAGACCGGACATGCAGCTCAAGCTGATGGAGCTGTAGCTACGGGTGAGGGTGGATCGCTTCAGCTCTTGGAAGGCCTTTCGCCTGAGCAGAGAGGGATGCTTGCACGCGCTGCTGAAGCTCTACGTGCTGAACAAGTCCTACAACTAGAGGATGTGGTGAGGAGACCCGACTTTCTTCCACCTCCTTTGCAACTACCTGATGTGCCTGTACCAGCTGGACATCAAGGCCAAGCTGATCAAGTTCGAGGACCTGGTGAAGGTCAACATGCCGATCGACGTGAAGGAAATGATTCGGGAGCCCGAGATCAAGCTGATCAAGGAGCCAGTGGACATGGTGGTGGCCTTCTTGGACCTCTTGCGCTACGCCCTGGTGAAGTTCTTGGTGCTGACTTTGTGCTTCGACCTCCGGATCTTCCTCCAGTTGGACAGCCTGCTGCTCTTCAACCACTAGGTGGACACCTTCAAGGTCCTGGACATGCTCAACAAGGTCCTGGTCAAGTTCCACATGGTTCGGGACAAGTTCAACAAGCTCTTGAAGAGCCTCGACGTGAAGTTCAGGAGATGGTGACTCCACCAAGGCAACCAGCGGTGAATGTGTTCTGGAGTGAGCGTGTTCAACGGGCTGTAGAAGATGGAGTTCCAGGTGATGTGATTCACCAACAACCTCAACAAGGTAACCGTGGTGGTGATGGACGTCAAGGGGCGTCTCAACCTCGAGCTCTTCCAGCTGAAGGGACGCAACCTCTGGCAGTTGGGATTGAAGGTCTCACACACCAGGACCTGTTGGAGTTGGAGTTGCTTCAAAATCAGGCGTTGAAAAATGTTGAAACCCAAATCCAACAAGAAATAGCTAGGCGTAAGGGGTCAGCTGGGGGTAGTGGTTCATATGGGACACCTCAAGGGGGAAGCAGGAATGATGAGGGGATGCAACAGCCCAATATTTCTACTCCACCAGGGTTACCTCAAACCACCTCCTTTTTGGGAAATCCACCAACGGGTAGTCTGAAAAATGTTTTGGGGTTTGGACATACGCCTGTGACCCATGGTGACCTGAGGATGCCAGGGTGTGTAGGAAGTTTGGGGTCAGGGTTGGGAGTAGATGGAGCTCAGCACCCTCCGGGGACCGCTACAGCTCAAGTTGGGGAGTCGTTTGCAGAAAGCCTGAGGGTTTTGGAACTGCCTCGCTTGAGTGAAAGCACAACAGCGTTGTCTCTAGGGGATTGGTTGGCTGTAATCGACCCAATCATGTCTGACCTTAGCTCCACTTCAGGAGTTTGGTGGCAGTTGATTGTAGGTGCTGCTCAGGATGGGTACCGCCAATGGATCTTGTCAGGACCTTTGGACCGACTGAGGTTACGTCCACCGGTGCCTGCTGAAGCATCCAAGTGGCCACGCACTGAACAACGAGCTGTGACCATACTTCTAGCTTGTCTTCCCGAAGGAGTTCGACGTGATCTCATCGCTTCTCGGCGATTGTCAACGGTCGAGATCATCTACAAGCTGCTGATCACGTACCAGCCTGGAGGTCCACAAGAGCGGACCGTGCTCTTGAAGGACATCACTGAGGATCGTCTTGGAAACAACCCGTCAGTGCAGGAGGTTCTCAACACTTTGAGGATGTGGAGAAGAAATGTCAACAGGGCGAACGAGCTCAAGGTCACCTTGCCTGACACTTTGGTGATTGTGGGGGTGCTGACCAAGTGGGCAGAGCACATCAGTCGACTTGGTGGGGCTCAAACTGCGTTTCGAGTGGCCACAGTACGTCAAGATCTCAAGTTGGACAACCGTCCGGATGCTGACCAGGTGATGTACTTTGCGGAGGCCCTCCAAGCTGAGATCGAGCAGGTTGCTTTGTCACGGCCATCAACGACATTGTCATCGACGTCTTCAAGCTCTGACGTGAAGAAGAAGGAGGTTCCCAAGACGGCATCGCTCAGGACTGGTGGAGAAAGCTCCGCTACCACAGGTGCTACTGGCGAAAAACCAAAATGTAAGTTTTGGGGTAGCTCGGTTGGTTGTAAAAGGGGAGATAAATGTGCATATCAACACTCATGGGAAGGAATCCAACGTAGTGGAAGATGTTACTTTTGTTCGGGGGAGGGTCACATGAAGCCCAATTGCCCTTACAAAACTCAAGAAAGGGATGGTGATCAGAAAGGAAAGATCTCAAAGGTCAATGCTGGCACAACGAAGGTTGCCCCTGGAGGAAAGAAACAGACCTCAGGAAAGGATGCCCAGGTTGTGCAGCCAACGTCCTCATCCTCTACCGGATCCACGGAGGAGAAGCCGGTGTCCAAGGGTGTGGAGGAGATCCCAGTGGTCCCATCAACTCCGGTCATCGATGTGACGAGCCTGATGAAGTCGCTTCAGAGCCTGAAGGCTGTGCAGCTTCGATTCTTGGATGCTGGTGGTTCGAACGAGCCCCCACTGGACTGCAAGGTTGCCCTCCTTGATGGAGGGGCAACACATGCTCTACGTCAAGGTTCAGCAGCGGAGCTACGTGATGCTCAGCCAGTATCTGTAGAACTTGCACATGGCCGAACTACGCTGTATCGTCATGATGGATGCAGCACCCTGCTCTCCAAGGAACCCATCGAGGTGATCTTACCCATGCGCCTCTTGGTCGAGAACGGCTACCAGGTGAAGTGGTCGTCAAATGAGTGTGTGATCGCTCACCCTGTCAAAGGAAACCTTCAGTGCTGGCGTCGTCAAGGATGCCCAGTCATGAGAGAAGATGAAGCTCTACTGCTTCTCGAGGAGCTGGAGAAGGTCGAGACCGAAAATGGGTTCGGGGTAGGAAAAGATGTAGAAGAATGGTGGCGGAGGTACTTCCCGCAGATCCCTGATGAAGTTCTCCAGAGAATGAAAGGTCAAGGGAAACACTGGTCAGAATGCAGTGGTCCACCCTTACCATGGAATAGAAGGAGACGCCGACAGATTGAGGCCTCGAAGGGAGTGATTCTACACCTGTTTTCAGGTGGTGCGGCGATGTCCAAAAAGTGGGAGGAGTTGCGGAAGAATGGCTATGAAGTCATCACGCTCGACATCTCCACCAATGCCGCGGAGAACCTTCACAACGCCACGATCTGGTCCTATTTGTGGGACTTGGCATCCCGCAACACGTTGCTTGCCATTTTGGGTGGACCTCCTTGCAGAAGTTTTTCTCGTCTTCGTCATCAACGACCAGGACCTCGACCACTACGTGCTAGAGGTCCACAACGCTGGTCACTGCCAGATCTGAACCAATGGGAACTTCAGACTGTCACGGATGACAGTGCTCTGATACTCAAGATGCTTGGCTTGTTTGACCGAGCAGTGGAAGTGGCCCAACCGCATGAAGAACGTGCTTTCTTGATGGAGCACCCTGCTGACCCTCAGGATTATCTTGGCGATGATGCCTCGATGATGCCGTCAGTATGGGAATGGGAAGAGATTCGGGAGTTTGCCCGTCGACACCAATTGAACGTGGTGAAGTTTGATCAGGGCCGAACAGGCCACTCACGCCGAAAGCCAACGACACTGATGACATCTCTTCATGCTCTCAACGAGCTGGACGGTCTATCTGGAGGGGGACATGAATCTCTACAACCGGATCTTCCTGACCGTCTTCGTCAGACTGCTACCTGGGCCGAATGGTCCCCGGGCCTAGTTCAAGTCATCAAGTTGGCTCTTCGAGGATTCTTGGAAAAATAGACCAGGAAGCTCAAGTGAAAAAGATGAGCCTTGACGACTGGCGTCAACATGTGCGGCAGAACCATGTGCCTTTTAGGCGAGATTGCCGAGTCTGCGTCGAAGAAATGGGTCAAGATGTTCCTCACCGTCGCAGGAAACACCGTGGAGCTGGTGATGCTGTCTATGTCTTGGCAGTGGATGTCGCAGGCCCCTTCGTCAAGGGATGGGACTATGGTATGGCCAAGGAGGCCAAATATGCACTGGTGGCTACGATACCTGTGCCGGTTGGATCGCGATTGGCAGATCCAAAGACCTCGCTATGTAGCGAGACTGAGGCTGCTGATGATGGCCTACATCCTGAAGATTGTCAACGTGATGGAGGTGCTGGCGACCACGATGGAGATCTACCTCTACCTTCAGATCCTCTTCAACCTCTTCCTGAACTTTGTGAACGCGATGGTCCAGATCCTCAACATGAAGGAGATGCTGTCGATGCTTCTGGTCATGGCCGCGATCAAGCAGTCATGGACCGTCTGAATGAAGAGTGGAAAAAGCAGAGGGACATCGCCACCAACCCCATCGACATCCAGAATATCACAGTGGTTGAACCACTTTCGTCACGGGCTACGAGGGATGTGTTAGAAGCTTTGCATCGGGTCTACGCTCGTTATCGGAGCTTGGGGATCCCGATCTATCGACTGCACTCGGATCGCGCCAAAGAACTGATCAGTG